AGCCTCCATGACATGGCTCTCAGAGGTGCGTGACGGCGCGTGGGAAAGGTGGGTGTCAAGGCGGTTCGGGGTAAACCCTGTTTTCTGGGGGCCAAGCCATGTTCTCTCGCGTTGTTTGGGCTCTGCAGCGGTCGTGTGTGTTGGTTGCGTGCATGTAAGATCTGTCAAATAATCAGCAGCTGCTGGGAGTGTGCTGGGGGTCTTTTCTGGCCGTCATTCCTGGACGACGGCGACCGCGCTGCCATTCTTCAGTGGAGGTGCGTGGGAGCGGTTCGGGGTCAACCTCCGTGTCGGTTGAGAATATGAGGTGGTCAGCCAAGTGCAGCTGGCGTGTGTGGCGGGAGGATGCGGCTGCCAGTGGAGAGGCTGGGGATGGGGGGCAAGACCGGCCGAAGCCGTGGAAGTGCCAACTCCTTGACTTGGTCATCGGGCAGCTGGGGTGCAGGGAGTTTCGGGTTGCGGCAACAACTTCATGCCCTACTCAGCAGTGGAGGCACGCTTGCGTGGAAGCTGACAGGCCTTGGGTTTTCTCTTTGCTGTTCCGCCAGTCGGCCGTCTGGGTTCCCTGAGTTGGGCGTCTGGGTCACGATGAAAGCGATGTTCGAGCCTACTTCCGTGGGAAGGGTGGCAAGAATTGAGCGATCGCAGCCTTCCTGTCGCGGCGGAGCAGGCGCAGAAACGCTAGGAGCGCGGGTTTATGCTGGTAAGGGTACTGGATTGGGAAGGGTGGTTTGGTTGTGGGATCTCTGATGTTGAAACGGCGACGGTACCGTCCGTCGCCGATGATTTGTCGCATCGGTCGGTAAGTTACGTGGAGCGTGTTACGCGTGATGAGCTCTCCTGTGATGTGTGTTGAGTGTAGTAAGTTTTTCGCCCTGGTAATGATGGTTTGGTTTCGGGTTTGGTCTTTCCCCTTTGTTAGTTGTGAAGTCGCCCCTCTGATGCGAGTATCATCTCCTATGAAAAGATGTGCTTTTGAGGTTTTCGATAGCACGCTTTTGCCGAAGCATTTTTGGGCTGTTTTTCCATGCCAAGCTGCTGTAAAGGTTGCCAGGGAGGGCTTGGGCGGCTTCCCTGGCATCGAGTACGGCAGTGGCTGCGACAGCCAAGTTTGGTTCCCGGGACGAGGGCGGCGTCTCGCTGCCACACGCGTCCTCTTCCAGGCTTAGGGTGCACACTCAGGTCGCTGCATCAACACACTCTCCCATCCCAAGCTCACGGTAGCCGTGGCGGGGGGGGGGGGTTTGCTGTGAGGTAGAACGGTCTCCTGGTTTATCAGGATCCTACCTCCGGCTTCCCAAAAGTATGAAGCCGAGACAACGGCTGAGCGCCAAACACGTCTTCGCAACCGCACGCAACAACTCTGTTGGGGGGCGCTCCATGGACGTACTATGAACTGCAAGGTGTCTAACCGGGGGGGGGGGGGGTCCGCCAAAGCAGAGGAACTCTGCGGGTGTAAATGCAATTTGATGTACTGGCCGTGACCATTTGCCCAAGCGGGATGGGTCGTGGCCGGACATTGGGGCATGTGCCGTGCGGGGCAACTCACAGAAGGTGGCGTCTGAGGCAGGGATGGAGCGTCCGTCGAGGAATCTGTGCTGATTCTTCCGGGTTCCCCAAGCCGGAATCAGTCCAAAACCCAGGTTTTTTTGCACTTTTGAGCTGGCGCCCCAATGCATGCAAAAAAAAGCGCAGGGCACACCAGAATGCGTGTTACCTTGTTTAAGTAGAACCCGAAGAATTGGTAAGACAGCTATTAACAATTATGAATGTGTATAACACAAAATTTTGTGGATTGCGAGATATATTAATATATATAGATACACATGTCTTCTAACGACGTCATAGCCTTAAAGAGGCACCCTGTGAAGCCTGTCATACGAAACATTGATGCTCGGTGTTTTTTCTCAGGTAGCATATATATATATATACACATATATATATATATATGCATGTATATATAAATACATAAACTACAAAAATACAAAAAAGTGAACACTTTACAAAACGTTTTCTAGAAAGTTTTATCAAAAGATATACAAAAGGATAAATGAACGCTTCTACTAGTACCGACCCAAAATTGCATGAATCTTTCCGCATTTTCCATATAGATTTAGCACATCCATCCTGAACACACAGCCCAAAGCCTTGTAAGGCCTGATGATCCCTTACGGCGATCTACCTACAGGGTTCAGGCTTGAGGGTGAAGGTTCGGGAAGGGTTTAGGGTTTAGAGTTTTGAAAACCGCATGAAGCCGTGAAAGCAACCTTTGGGGAACCCAGGACCAGGCTCGGGTTCGGCTGGGGTTCCTGGTTTGGGGCTTAGGCCCTACAGGGCCTTCGGGGTTTAGGGTGTATATGGTTTAGGGTTTCGGGGCCATTTCAGCATTTAGGGCGTCTAGGGGTCTAGGGCTTAGGGTTTCAACGTCCTTTCAGACGCTTCCTCCCGGCCGGCAGGCGTGGGATCTCTGTGGTGCGCACCTCCGCGTTTTGCAAATGGGCAAATCCTTCAACCCCATGTTTGAAGGGCCCAAGGGCCTAAAGGGTTTATAAGGTTTATAGGGTGTACTTGGGCTTTGAATCACTTCCTACATAACTATTCTGGTAGATGTGCCCTTGGGCCATAACAAACCTACGCCCTATAAGCCCTGAGCCTTAACGCTTGTGTCATGTGGAGGGCCTGAATCACTACTACGAAACCAAAGTGAAAATGATGGTCCTGCTAGTACCCTTAACAATACTGCCTATCATAGAGATAGAGAGAGCAAACCCCGAACCCTATGCAGCCTAAACCCCACTTGAACTAACAAACGAAGGCCCTTGGTTGAAGACAAGGCGACTAGGGTTCAACGGCAGTTTGCTCCCCCAAGCTTCCTAAGCCCCAAACCGCAAACCCCAAACCCTCAACTGAATGTTGAGCCCAACGCCCTCAACCCTAAACCTCTACCTAGTCAACCCTAGAAGCCTCACAGCCTGAAGCCTTGTAGCCTGTTGCCAATCTCTAAAGCAGCCCTAAACGCCCTTACAGAGCAGTGAACCCTACAAGCCCTACAACAGAGCAGCCCTGGAAACCCTGAGAACCCTACACCCTAAACCGACCTCTTGGGGTTTGGGGCTTGGCCAGGTGGACCTGCGAGAGCTCGACGAGAAGCGCGGCTCTCGGGATGGAGGGCTGACCCGGCCCAAATCCCAAACCCACGACCCGAAACCCTAAACGTCAATGAACCCCAAAAACCCAGCCTAAACCCAATGATCCCTAAACCCTAGGCCAGAAAAAACCTCAAGACCCTAAGGACCCTAAAGCCCAGTTGGCCGAGTTTTTGCACTACCTAGGTTGCAGCGGTCATGCTCTCCGAGAGCATTGGCTTCAAAGCCAGTTGAACCCCAAATAAATCAGACCTACAGGGTCAAGAGTTTTAGCGATAAGGCCTCTTAGGTTTTGTATGCTGGTCACGTTGTGTAGGGCTTAGGGCTTCATAGGGCTTATAGTTAGTCTTTGGGCCTGTTTTGGGCTTTGTTTCTCTTAGGTGCGGCTTGGCTTTTGGCTTGGCTCGGGATTTGGCTTGGCGGCTTGGCTCGGCTCGGCTTCAATGTTTTTGGCAAGCCACAGAATAATTAACTTATATGTGTTGAAGGCAGGATGTAGGACGTGCGGTATGATTTGTCGAGCTTATGGCGTGACTTCTCAAAGCATACTGGAAACGTAGTGTCCCCGCCTTGGTAAACCCGACCTGATAAGGAAACCACACGAACTCCAAGCTGGAAGCCCTTCTTTGTCGCTAGTCAAGGAGGCCCCTGAAAGCCGACTTCAAAAAGCCCCTGTAAGCCCCACGAGGCCGTAGCCTTAAGCCCTAAGCCCTATAAACCCTAAACCCTAAGCCCTCCCAAAGCACAGGTTTGCCGTGGACGTCCGCCACGGCGGGCAGCAGCTGTCGCTGGCGGCCGCCAAGGTGCTGAAGAAGAGACTCTAGTCCACAAAGCCCTGGGGGAAGTCTCAGGCCTGATAGGGTTTAGGCGTTAGGGTTTAGGCTTTAGGGTTTTAGGGCTCAGGGTGCCGGGTTTGGGTGTTTCTTTGGGGTTTTGAGACGAAGTTTGGGGCTCGAGTTGAGGGTTGAGGCTTTGGAGAGGTGGAGGGCCGAAGCCAGTAGTTTGTGCTCCGTTTGGTGCATAACCCTCTACTGGTACCCTGAAGATAAGGCTCCGGGTAAAAGGACCCCCCTACCCCCCCAAAAGGACCATAATTTTCAGAGGGTTGGATCTTAGGTGTCAGGCTCGAGGACGACGACATTTGGACTTGCGAAACCCGAAACGAGTTCCTGTGGGGGCCACAATCCTTAACCCTTAAACCCTACATTCTAAACCCCCAAACCCTAAATTCTAAACCTAAGCCCCTAAACCCTAAATCCTAAACCCCTATATAAGCCTTAAATTAAAACCCCTACGCCCCTAAACCCCTAAACCCTGAGAAAGGTTTTCAAAGGTTTGAGGGAGAGCCCTGGCATGAAGCTGCGTGGACAAGTCGGGCAGGATCGGGGCAAGGCTTCTCAGGATTTGGGGGTTTAGGGGTTAAGGGTTTGGGGGCGTAGGGGTTTAAGGTCTAGGGGTGTAGGTTTTGAGGTTTAGAATTTCGGGTTTAAAAAAGGGGCTTGGGATTTTTAGGGTTATTAGGATTCTCTACGTTCACATGGCCAGCAAAGCGGGGGCGCGGTCAGGACTCGGACCCGAAACCCCAAACCCCAAGCCTTAAATCCTCACCCCCACACCCTAACCATAAGCCCTAAGCTCAAACCCTAAACCCCAAAATCCTATAAAACCTAAACCTTGTCCATCGCACAGCTGCCATGGCATCTGGCGTTCAACTCTCGGCAGCCCGGCGGGTTCGGCGTTTGGTCGCGGCGATCGGTCTCTGCCTAGCTGTTTCTTGGAAGCCTACATGATCCTCACGAGTTGGGATATAGAGACATACTTTGTATTCCTTTTTAGGTTCATGTAGTCCCCGAGGTCCTACTTTCGGGCGCTTGTGCGTCGGCTCGCGCGCCCTTCGCGGAGTGCGCCCGCGCACCTCCGAGAGATTCGGGCACTGGAGAGGGGCGGCCTGCAACAGACTTGCAGGACATGCTACGACACTCAATGCACGGAAGATCATGGATTTGTAGAGATGCGGTGTAGGGTTTCGGGTTGAGTTACGGAAGCTTACATCAAAGAAGGTACGCGCAACCTCACAAGAAAGGCCTTTCAATCTCCACCAGCACAGGCTCCTAAACCCCACACCCCTAGTCCCTAAAACCCTACACGTTCTTTTATGACCCGGCCTCTCCTCTGAGGAAAAGATATCTTGCGGAACTGGTCCAATTTGTCGCTACTGGGCTGGCTCGGCCGTGCATACCTGTCCTTCGGATGGCTGACCCTGGCCTTGATGGGACCAGATGAACCCTGAAAATTGGATCACATACCGTATGTTATGACTGACGACCCCAGAGTCTAAATTATGCCAACATTATCCCCATAGCGTCCCTCTATAAGTACAATCTAAATTGCCCCCTCTAGAACTAAGCTTTCAAGGACCTCGCTCTGGCCACAGCTGTTTCGACTGTCGCCGTACGAGGACGGCTTGCTTTTCCAAGAGCTGGCTAAGTCCGAGGGTGGCTCCATGGAGTACTTGACTTGCACCCTGACCCTTGGAGACCAAAGCCCAAAACCCCCAAAAGGGTGTTTAGGCTTCGTATGCCCCAGATGTGGAAGAGAGTCGAGGTTGTCTGATCCCGATTGGTTGCTTCCACATGCCCTAAATACAGGGAGGACAGCTCAGCTAGGGTTGACGATGTAATCCCCCAGGAAAGAAAGCAGCGTCTTGGCGCGGGGCCTGCCTTTGTGCTTCCGCTTCCGGATCGCGCGCGGGCCAGGGAACGAGTCGTTCTCTATATCCAGCGCAAGGCTGCGTCGCATCGGGTGTGATCTCTTGGAGCGGTCACAGCGAGCGCAACCGCCGCCCGGCAAGATCTCGGCTGCGGACCTTTGCGACCGGATCAACGGCAATGAGGATGTCAAGCGGCCGCTCGGATTTGCTGCTTAGCACCCCTCAACTCTTCGGCGTTTCACACCAGGTGTTGGGTGGCAGGCTTCCTGTTTGAAGCCCACAAAGTGAACCTTCAGTTCCTCTAGGAGTCTGGAGAAGGAAGACAGGAAGCAAGGCTAAGCTTCAAACGCAAATGCTCAGCCCCTCAACCCTAAACAGTATGTGTATTAATTTATATAGATAACCCAAAACACCCTGGCACCAGGCACTCCTAAAGCCCAGACTCAAGGTGTCCAGGGCTTAGTAAATAGGGATCCCTCGGGTTTTAGGGCTTAAACCCCGTTTTTTATCCAGGCTCGTCGTGGAGTCTCTCACGGAGGCCATCTTTGGGCCCTTGGCCCGAGTAGCCCGACAGGCGGAGGAGGCCCTCGAGTTGGAGTCCAAGAGACTTGGGCCTCAGGAGTCGCTCCATTTTTCCTTAGGCTTCCTGGGGTTCAGGGTTCAGGGTTTAGGGTTTAGGGTTCAGGGTTTAGGGTTTAGGGTTTAGGGCCATTGGGGGAGTCCAAGAGACTTGGGCTCAGGAGTCGTTGTTTTACCAAGGGTGTGCGGGGTTTTGGGATTTAGGGTTGAGGAAAAGGTCTAGAAACAAGTAGCCTTATTCTTCTTAGGGTGTGGAAGCTCGGGTCCCTTAGGGACCTACTTCGCCCTCTTGTCTCCTCGGAAAGGCGCTTTGGATTGTATGATGCCTCTAATTCTAGGACGGTTTCATGCCCCATCGAGCCCTTATGACTTATGTAGTCCTTTTGAAGCCTACCCTCAACAACTCAATGAATAGGGTTAAGCTTTTGGGTTTTAGGGTTCCAATGCCCGCAGCTCCGAACAGACGCAACCCAGGCAGGGCGTCATTCCGTTCAGCCCGCGCAAGGAGTTCTGGGCCAAGGAGGGCAGTGCTGAGAAATGGCTGGAGTGCATCAATGGCTACCCTTCTTGGCCCGGTATCCTGTTTTCCCCTTGTTTGGCTTCTTGAGAGGGGGACTCTCTAGGAGTATCTGAGAATGTTGCTAATGGCTGCTATCCCCAAGATTGGTTCTGCGCTGTCGAAAGTGGTCCCTACATAACCGAGGCTACTACTTTGCGCAGGCCATTCTGGACGTGGTGGGTTTTGCACCACGCGCCCGATCGACTGAAAGGGATGGTGCCGGGATGAGCCTGAGACCCGAATGGGGCTTTGAGGTTTTAGGGTTTAGGGCAACCCCCTAAACCCTTAACCCTTTTTGCTTCTTGTGTTTTGGGTAGCGGTTTGGTTCGATCAAGTATGCGTACCCTGTCTAGTAAAGTTTAGAGTTTTTCGGGCCTTGCTTGGTTCCTGGACAAACGAGGAGCTTCTTATTCTACTACGACCCTACCGAGCCACTGAACTCCGAAGACGTGCCTCTGCTGTGCCTGTTGATGCTAACAACTTAGGATTTGTAAAGGCCTAAACCCAACCCCCCCCTCCCCCCAAGAAAAACAACACCAACAAAAACGAACTAGTAGGTAAAAAAGACATCCAGGTAGGTTTGGGGGCCTTTTCGTGTACAGGGTGCCTTTCTTGGCCAAGTCGAGTCCCAACTGTCCTTAGGGAAGCTGATGAGGGTTTAGGGCACAAAGGGCCCCCTAAACCCTAAACCCTGCCCCAGAAAACCCTAAACCAAAACCCAAATCCTCGGGGCGCTTGGTTCCATAAACCCGAACTAGCCTCACCGAGGTACGCATGAACGTGAATCCGGAAGTGGTTTGCTGCTACTTCCCCGGCTTCCGCCCAGAGGAATGCGCCGAAAATTGTGCGGAGGGGCTTCGGCCAAGCCACACCCCTGAGAACGGAGGGTTCAGAACCTAAATCTTAGTACGTAGCCCAGTGGTACCCTTTACCCTTTTTTTGGGCATGGGTTCCCTTATAAAGTAATCAACCCAAAAAGCGTGCCCAAATGATTATATGGTTACTGGGCTACTAAGAAATACTATAGACCCTATACTGCCTGAACCCAAAATCGAGCCGAGCTCAGGGCATAGGGTGCTTTATAGGGATTTAGGGTTTAGGGTTTAGGGTGAGAGCAGCGGTGGGTGCCTGAGGCCTCCTGTTCAATTCTTCCAATGTAGGGTCCCGTTTTGGTATCCTCAAATCCCAAAAGCCTCGCAGCTCCAAAACTCTAAGCAGAATGGAATCTGCCATGTGTTTAAACTGGATGCCCGCAGCCGAAACCTAGACACCCGCCCCCCGCCGCCCTTCACTCTCAACCCGCTTGCCATGTGATAGGGGTCCTTGGTGGCTCTTAGGCGTCTCACGCTCGCGGCCACGCATCCAACTTTGGATATTTTTTGCTGCACTTCGTACCCGACATAGGAGCATAGTCTAGGTGTGTGACCTTGCTTATTTATAAACTTCACCAAACACCTAAGAATGCACCAAGTCTAAGTTGTGCACCCTATATCCCTCAGCCCCAATCCGGCAAAGAAGGGAGCCGCCAAGTTTTTTTTTTCAGCAAGCCCTAAACCCTAAACCCTAAACCCTAAACCCTAAACCCTAAACCCTAAACCCTAAACCCTAAACCCTAAACCCTAAACTCTACAACATCTCCAGGCCGGCCGCGGATGCAGCAGCATCTTCCAAGCTAGCGTCCTGCACGCTGGCCCCGTTTAGTTTGAAAAATGGGGAGGTTGTCCTTCGGGTGGCCGTTCGGGAGGTTAGGGTTTGGGTTTTAGGGTCTGGGGTTTAGGGTTTAGGGTTTAGGGTTTATGTTGACATCTCCCCGAACATTGCTGCACCTGGTTTACTTCTACTCTATGGGGTAGCCGAACCAATTTCTTGGATTCCTTAGCCCCTTTAAGGCAAGCAAGACAGGTTGATTGCGGTAACTTATATACTGTAGCATGCCAAATTTATGGTTCAAAGAATAGACCCCTAAGTATGAAGCCTTGAAGCCTAAGCCTAAACCGCAAACCCCTGAACCCCTCAACCCCTCAACCCTAAATCCCTGAGCCCTGAACCGGCCTGGCAGCCAGGAAGGGCATCGCCGGGGAGCTCATCGCGCGAACAGGTGGACGAGGTGGCGAGCGATTGAGGGCTTCAACCAGTGCAGCCAGCCCCCTGAGAGAAAAAAAACAATCCTGCCGACTCGAAAAAACCCTAAACCCTAAGCCCCAAGCCCCAAGTCCTAAGAGCAAGGCTTCTCCAACCCCCCCCCCGCCCAAATCCCTATACCCCTAAACCCCAAGCCGTAAACCTCCCAAGCTTCCTCTTCGGGTCTTCCAGAGGCATCGAGCACCCTTTGGTGCCGGTGAAGACCATGCGCCAGGAGCTGCAGGAGGTGGGGTGCAGAGGGTTTAGTGGGTTTAGGGGGTTTATGGGATTTGTGGGGTTTATGGGGTTTAGGGGGTTTTGGGGGTATTGGGGTTTGGGGTTCAGGGCGTTTAGGTTTAGAGGGTGCAGGGGGTGTAGGGGTTTAGGGGTTAGGGTTTAGGGGCCCCGAGTTGGCATGTGTGATCAGGGCCTTGGCCTTCCTTGTTCAATTTCACCGTATTGGCTTTACACTTTAGACGGATGTTATCTAGGAACATGTTTCCAGAGAGTGTTACGGGCCGAAGTAGAATCAATAAGGATCGGGGAAATGCTTAAGACCCTCAAGCCTGGCCCCCAAACCCGGAAGCCCAAAGCAAAACTGAAGCCCATGGCTTCCGCACATCAGCGCCAGGCCGTTGCGAAAAAATGAGAGCAACTTGCAGCTGAAAACAAGATGTACTGAAGCGAAGATATGGAATGCTCGCCTTTTGCTTTCTTATTGAGGTGCACAACCAAAATTCCATTTTTAAGGCTTGAGCAGAATTAGGGGTCCTTGGAAGGGGGGGGTTCTCCGTGACCTTTAACTCACTTAGGGCTACAACCCCCGTTCGAAGAGATGTGTACAGTGCCCTAAGATCCTGAACCCAGAATCGCTGCATCCCCGGCCCCATACCCACTCGAAGCCCAAGGAGCCGAATCAGGCCTAATCCCATACCTTCCCCAAGCCCCGAACCCTTAACTCCAAGGCAAATCGACCCTGAGCCAGAAACCTAACATGAATACCCTAAACCTCACCAACCTTGTCCAAGTATCAGAGGCGCTTCAAATCGCCACTGCCACCAAGCAGCCTGGCACTCGGGTGCAGCTCACCATAGACTGGGGGTGTTTATGCCGATGTGATTTCTGGTGTCCTTGGTGCAAGTCTCCCTGGTTCCCTTTCTTGGCTCTGGCAAGCCTGGCTCCGTGATCCCCTGGTCCTGCTCCCAAGTCCTACACGGCGTCAACTCGGAGCCTGCGGAGCCCCCCGTGGTTCCTAACTCCTCTAAACCTGACAAGCCGAAGCCTCAACACAGCCCTAAACCTGAACCCCCCCCCCAAAAAAAAAAGCAAAGCTAAACAAAACAAAGGAGCAAAAACTAAGCCCTAACCCCCCCCCCCCAAAAAAAAAAGCAAAACAAAACAAACAAAAGGAGAATACGAATAATCGTAATACTGAGATAACAATAATCAGTCTAAACAATTCCCACGAGGCTGCTGGCTCCCCAAGGCGCAACGGCGCGTGACGAGGAGGTCGGGTTGCAGGGTCGAAACTGAGGGGCTTTAGGGCTTGGCTTTGCGGTTTAGGGGGTTTAGGCGGGGTTTAGGGGGTGTCTAGGGGGGTTAAGGGGCGTTTAGGGGATGTAGCGGGTTTAAGGGGGTTTAGGGGAAAGGGTTTTGGGTTCAGGATTGAAGGCTTTTGGGTTTCTGGGGACGATGCGGGTTGCAGCATTCAGGGCTTGTAGATTCTGGGTTACGGGTCGTTGGGCTGCATTAGGATTTTTGGTGGTTTTCTGGTTTAAGAGGTTTTTGGCACAGGATATATCATGGGGTTTGTAGGCATGCGAGTTAGTTGGTTTCAAGGCTTCCTTGTGAGGGATTCTTGGTGTACAGGTTGCCCAGTGTTGCCTTTCGCGCCCAGTAGTACCTCTATTATTTTTGTTGACGGCTTCTTGGTGTAGGAGTTCAGGGTTTAGGGTTTTGGGCTGTGGGTTTTGGAGTTCAGTTTTTTTGGGTTTGAGGGTTTGGGGTTTGGGGTTTGGGTATCGGCCAAGCCTAGACCCCCCTCAAAGGCTCCTTGTAACCAGGGTGCTCCTCTTCCTGGGATGTTAGGGGTTTCGGGCCTGTCAGGTTCAGGTTACAGGGTGCGTTTACGCAGACACGTCGGTTTGTCCGGCGCAGACAAGTCCAGGGGCTTAGTGGAGTTCAAGTCCCTAAGTTGGGTTCTCCAACTTAGGGTTTAGGGCTTTGACTACAGTTAGTGTAGTAGCCGGTCCTGCATTCGAGGTCCTCAACCGAGGCCGAAACAATAAACCCCAAGACCAACAGTCGAACCCTCCAGCCCCAAATCCCGAAGCTGAAGCAACAACTTCTAACAGGGATTGGAGGGTGGCCCAAACTCCTCCGCCCCAGCAGGGCTATGGGGCTACAAGCTGCAAGGGTATCGGCTCGAGTTTATAGGGTTTCAGGCTTTAGGTGGCTTAGGGTTTAAGCGTTTAGGGTCGTGGGCTTGAAGTTTAGGGCTTAACGTCGGTCTTCGGGTATTAAGGCGTGTGGGGTTTAGGGGTGAAAAGTGCAGGGTTTGACGTGGAAGGTGGCCCTCTGCCTGGAATACATCCAGCAAGCAGAAGCCCGATGGCACCAGATCCTTTCGCAGTGAGCCGCGCGGCAGATTTGTGCCAAACCCTAAGCCCTAAGTCTCCCTAGGGTTTAGGGTTTAGGGTTCAAGGTTTAGGATTTAGGGTGTGACGTTCAGGCCAGAGTCTGCCGAAGAGAGAGAGAGAGAGAGAGAGAGAGAGAGAGAGAGAGAGAGGAAGAGACAGAGAGAAAGGGAGAGAGCGACTATGATACGGGCAGGCGATGATGCTGGGGGGTTCGCCCCCAAGCCCCTAGAAAGAAAGAAAGAAAGCGACTATGATCACAACGGTGCGCAGGACACCCAGGCCGAGGGACGAACGAGAGGGAGAGAGGGTGAGAGGGTGAGAGGGAGAGAGGGAGAGAGGGAGAGTCGCGCAACGGCTCAAGCTTGAGCTTGAAGCTTTTAACCCAGCATCTGACTTGCAGCTGTGCAGGCTTGCTTACACTCCTGAGCGAAAATTTAGGAGCTTTCAAGTTCCTGCCACAAGTTTTCACGTCCTTGTGCAGAGTTTGGGGTTTGAGGTTTGGGGTTTCGGGCCCTGGGTTCCATTTATGCAGCGGCCCGGCTCCAAGAACACAAGGAGACCCCAACCTTGAGCCCTGAACTTTAGGCCCAACCACCAAACCTGTTTAGGGTTGAGGGTGGTCCTTGAAACATGAAGCCCTTTTCTCCACTCTAGTTCCTTTGTTGGGGTACCTGATCATACTTTTTAATCCTTTAGGCGCTATCCCTTCATGCGTTCATCCGACG